CACTGGGTACTCCATAATTTCGGCCTTGTGCCACATCTAAGTCACGGATTAGAAAATCACCACCAGGCAGTAAATCAGTACAGGATTTAATTACAGCTACCAGTAACTATTTGGTAAATAAAAAAAAATTCTTGGCAAATTTGTGTCCAAAAAAAAAAACGTCAAAAGGATTGTTATTCCCTTGACACCGCAAATAAAGTATTCATTTTGATTCCCTAGGCAATGTTTTAAAAAGCGAATTAGATACTATATGTTCATTCAAAGTTACTTGTTTTATAGTTGATTGATATTTTTATAAAATTATTAATAAAAAAACTTGTTTTCATAGTTATTTATAAAATGGTTAAATATTGCATTGTAGTTGGTTTACATAATTTTGTAATTTTTTAAATAAATTTTTGAATAAAAAGATTTCTATTCAAATTTAATTCTTTCTAAAATGGTAAATAATAAATCTTTCTAAAATGGTAAATAATAAATCTTTCTAAAATGATAAATAATAAATCTTTCTGGTAAAATGGTAAATAATAAATCTTTCTAAAATGGTAAATAATAAATCTTTCTAAAATGGTAAATAATAAATCTTTCTAAAATAATAAATAATAAATCTTTCTAAAATGATAAATAATAAATCTTTCTAAAATGATAAATAATAAATCTTTCTAAAATGATAAATAAATATTGCATTGTACTTCGTTCACATATATTTTATAATCTTGTTAATAAACATTGCCGAGGGAATCAAAAGTGTATACAGTAATAGCGGTGTCAAAGGAATAACCGTCCTTTTGAAAATACCTTTTTTTTTTTTTTTGCAGTCACGAAGTTTAAATATTGCCGATGTTTTTTTTTCTTTTCACCGCCGCTTGAGAAAAATGTTAGTGACAGTTGTCAATCATGCCCTCTATAAATGCACATACGGGTACCTCGTAAATTAAAAAAAAAAACAACAACAAAAAAAAAAATCCTCGAAAAAAAACATAGCAGTTGTTACACTAATCAGTCGATGAAGAATGATTAGTCTCGATTTAGATACATTTGCTTCGACTTGCTGATACTGTGTACGACTGCAAATTGTGTCACATTCACTACTAAGTAGGTCATGTTTACAGCAGAAAGACAGCCGCAGCTGCAGTCGTAGAGGCGGCGGCGGCGGCGGCGCTGGTGGTGGAAGCAGCAGTACAATCGCCGTAGTCAGTTATTGACAGCAGGAGAAACGGGCAAACGATTGTGTGTGTAAGACATATGCACTTTAACAACAACGATTTCCATTCATGGGAAACTGGCAATGATGTCCGTGAACAATACATTCAAATGATAACAATACGTTTATGGCCCATTCTCGAATGGCTTTTAGTGTAAATGGAACATGTTAAACATCTTAGAATGTCACTAGGACTTAAAAAATATTAATCAAACATTCGATAATTTACGCTTTCATTATTGATTTAAAAAAAAAAAAAAAGAAGATACGCAATGCCCAGTAGAAATAGTTTACCACGCTACACCATTATTATTATTATTATTATTATTATTATTATTATTATTATTATTTCCTTTGATTTCTGGTATATATTCATTTCTTTCCGGGTCCCAACTAGAAAAAAGAATCCTTGGATCACACACATTATATATAGGTAAAGCCCTATGTAAGGTGTGGATTGCTACTGCTGCTGCTGTTGTTATTATGATGATCATTATCATCATTTTATTTCATTTCGTTTCTGATCTATACTCATTTCTTTCCGAGTCCCAACCAGAGACCTAAGGTCAGAAATGGCATCATGACATATTTCACTGGGTAATTTTGAAAAAAAAAGTCACTCATATAAGCCCTCCGTAAAGTGTGGGTTGTACTTGTGAGTACAATTTTTTGCATTTCTTTAAGGCATGGGTTATCAAGGATTTCTTCATGGGTTATCAAGGATTTCTTCAAAAGTCTATTGGAATCTTTTCCAATCATTCCGAGGGCTCCAACTACAACTGGAATTGTTAATGTCATCATGCACCATATTTTTGAGATTTCGATTTCAAGGTCCTTGTATATTGATAGTTTTTTGAAGATCTTCAAAGATACATTGCAGTCTGCAGGACTGGCGTGTCAATATGGAGACATATTTTGTCTCTGCAGTCTCTAATTGGGATCTCAGGGTGATTAGCTTTGCTCTGTTTGTGTGTATTTTGAAGTCCCATAAAATTGTTACAGGTCCTATCTCTGTAAGCGGGTCTGGGTGATGTTCATACCAGTTTCTTTCAGTTTCCTTCCCGTAAAAGTTGCACATTTTCCGTATTGGCCCAACTTTGTCATGCTGAGTTTTATATTCAGTTGGTTCTAACACTGTTTAACCTCATACAAGATGGCCAATTGTTTCTGGATATTTATCACAGAATCTGCATTTTTTATTAACACAATTATTCAATATGTGTGCTTGATAATCTCTAGTTAGCAAACATTGGTTCTGTGCATCAAGAATAAAACCTTCGATTTCAGCTTTGAACC